GCTGGATTCCAAGAAACTCTTTATACAAATTCGGGCTAAGGCAGGCCAGTCCCAAAGCCTCGCAGGCATGTACTGAAAAAAATCACACAGTTAGAGTGCGGGGGAGGAGAGCAGGGCTGAACTCTGCAGCAAGGAAGAAGGTACATCTCTGTAACATGCTGCAGACTCAAGACATGCAAACACTAATGCCAATGTGCAGCTTTTAATAATCTATTATGAATTTGGCTGTAAGCTGATGCAATGAAAATGCTGGGAACCTGAAAGTTGTGGGCTAGAGGAGGAAGTATGGAGTCGCTTTGACATGCATATTCTCATCCTCTCCTGCTTGTTGTTTGTCTTGTTGCTGTGTGTTCTGGCACTGAGATGCATACCTCACTCCAGCTAATGCTCCCCTGTTTGGTGAGCTGTGTTTTGGAGGTAACGTGTGGGAGTGTGTTGAAACATTGCAGGGAGGTGTAAGTTGCATGTTAATAAACGACAGCTTATCTACACACTCACAAACTGAAACAGTAATTTGCCTTACTTATTTCAGTGTAAGGTTGGGCACTATGGTAAAAAAAATTAGTGCGTATAACTGCTGACTCTGTGGTATTGGTTACTAGGTACGTGCTGACTCACCTCAGTTCACCTCCAGTCCAGCGGGAGAAAAGGACGATCCGAAGATGAGAAAGTTGGAACAGACTTGTCAAAATAGTTCCTTGTAATTATTTTTGCATTGTTACTGAGGCAGCAGATTTTCTTCTACAGTTTGGGTTAGAGAAGAGGATAAATATAAAGTAAGAAATGGACCTAAACCCCTGAATGTTATTTTACAACACAATGAATGAGTTAATCAGCTGATGTTCTGAAATTCTCACAGAGTTTACTAGGGGGACAATCTTACTCTGCAAAGCATTTGACTAAACTAGAATTTGCTGTAAAGATTTGCTTCCATTTATAATCTCCCCAATTTGCTAGGCATAATTAGAAAATAACTAGCTCCTCGATTTTACTCCTATTACATCTGCAGAGACAACATGCCAGAGAGAGGCTTCAGGGTTCTTGTTTTGTTCAGTATTACGCAACAATATCTAGAAATTCCAGATAAATTCTGAATTTGGTTTTGTAAATTCTCTAAGGATATTCTGTGCCCTGAAATGTTTGCAGAATCTTAAACAAAAAGAAAAGGGAAAAAAATTGAAATAAAAAACATTGAAAGTTTAGGAAATTAATTGAGACACTAAAGAGGATAGAATCCACTGTCATAGCTTTAATTCCAAGAAGTTATATGACAAGTTTAAAAACAAGTACAAATACCTAAAAACAACTTTGTCATTTATGTTCTATCTAATTTCAAAATTGTGACATTACAGAATCCCAGGTAGTGGCCTTGGAGGAGCCAAAACTCCATGAGTATTTCAGTTCATGACAGTAAAGTTCTTTAAAGTTCCTTGGGTACACACAATTCTGCTCCTGTCTATACTGGATATCTGACCAAGGCTGTACCGAATCATAGACTCAAAGAAAGATTTAGACAGGAGGGGAGCAGCTAGCTCCAGAGCTAGATCAGGATGCTCATGGTCTTGTCCAGACAACCTGTGAACATCTCCAAAGAGAAAGATCTCCCAGCCTCTCAGGACACCTGTTCCAGTGCTGAACCACCACTGTGAGGAGAAGCAGTTTTTTCTTTATGGTTAATCAGAATTTTCTTTGATTCAAACATTGTGACTGTTTTTGCTGTGCCTCTCCAAGAGGACTCTGGCTCTGATATCTCTGTAGCCTCCCAACTGGTAGCTAAAATCAACCGCTTTGGCCTTGTCTTTGCCAGGCTGAACAAACCTAACTCCCTCAGTCTCCCCTTGGACATCATGTGCTCCTCTTGAGCTTGTTGTCATCTCTCGTATGGGGGACTACAACAGTGGACCCGGTGTTCCAGATGTGGCTACATGTGTGACAGATAAAGGGGAATAATCACTCTCCTGCTGAACACATTCATGCTATTGCAGCCCAGTATGTGGTTGGTCTTTGTTGCCCCTTCCTGGCTCCTGTTCATCTTGCTGTCTACTGGAAGCCCAGGTTCTTTTCTTCAGAGCTGCTCCCAGTGCAATTGGTCCCCAAACTGGATTGATGCATGAAGCAGTTTTGTCCCAAAATGGCTATGCCATATAGATAAAATATAGAAGAATATTTGGAAAGGACTTCTTTTAAACTTGTGAAAAATCTTAAAATAGCATATTCACATGTTTCTGCCAAGCAGGGTTAACAGAAAGCAGATCCATTGTAGCGGTCAAAAATCTTGACTTTGCCTCTCTTTTGTACTCACACAAGCCTACAGATCTCTTTAATGATTTCAGTGTAAGTGGCCAGGAATGAGTGTAACAATGGCAATAAAAATAAACTGGGCTCAAATAATCGCAGTCCTACTTACTGCTGAATAGTGATTTCCTCTGACTAGATAAGAATCTGAACTCGTGAAAACTTCACACACAGATGGGTTTAAAGCTTTTATATCTGCTTTGCTTTGCCTTGAAGTGTGAGTTTAGTTTAAACTTACTTAAAGACCCACAGATTTGTTTTTATTTAAGAAGAGTAGCAACACATTCTGTTAATTAAAATGTTGCCATTCCAGGTACAAACTATCCCAGTAAATAATCAGGTACTTTCAATTGCTTCAGTGAAAAGAACAAGAGAGGAGAGTGCTAGTGCTACAACTCTGCCTTCCTCTGAAGGTCCAATTACATACTATTGCTTGATTTACAGAAAAACTGTAAACCCCCTTTTCTTGGGAGGAGTGGAATTTCCTGTCATTCGTGCAGGAAGAGCAGAGGCATCAGGGAAGAGGACAGACTTCTGTGTCATATGGTATATAAGGAGCTGGATCCTGCAGAGAGAATTAATATGAGATGCTGAAAGAAAGCATTGGCCCTAGGGACACTCACAGCCAGAGGGACCCCAGACTGGGCAAGAAACAGAATCTCAGCCCAGACTGAACAGCGCACATCATCAAGGGGAAGAAGTCTCTATTTCCTTACCTTCTAACCCACAGACGGTATGTTGTCACTGAAGTGATCAGCTCCAAACCAAAGGGAGGGAACCCCCTCTTTCTTCCCCACGTTTTAGCTTTGTTGTGCTTAGTAGAATCCTCTTAATGTCTCAGTACTTGGAGCAAGGGGAGCCCCAGCTGGTCCTCAGCGACTGAGTCCACAGTCATGTATCAACCTGTTACTCCTGTTTTCTACTACTTACATGGAGTGTCAAGAGAGCTTTATAGTCAGATTGTTTAGAATAGCTGTTGGGGAGGTCTTGCAGCAGCAAAAGTTGGATGTAGGAGTTAGTTGTGGCTTTATAACCCTGGGAACTGTTTCTAGCAGTGGTCTTTGTTATCTCCTTTTGCAGGATTGTTTTTCCCTCTATGTTCTCTAAAGAGCTCCTTCTTGGTCTTCACTGACTGTCCATTTTTTTTGTCTTGGAGCTTATGGTAGTTTCTTCCTAACCTGTCAATTTTGCTGACTTATGCTCTGAAGCAGAGAAATTTAATTCCTAGTTTTGCACCTGAGGTAATATAATTGTGGATGTTTTCATTATTCATCTGAGTCCCCAGATGTTTTGAATCCTGCTGAGATACTGAATCACAAGGAAACCTTAGGGCAAAAATAAAAGAAAGGTCTGTAGGCTTAGTATATTCACCTCCTCAATTTTATTCATTGTTTCTTTCTGGAGCTTTTTGAGATGGCTTTTTCCAGGAAAACACCTGTCTCCACTAATACTTTTCCCATCAACTTCCCATTCCTTCTATTTGAATATTCATGATATTTGATGTAATTTTCCAGTTTCTTTCACACTAAAATATTTCTGTTTTTTTAATATAAGCAGAAATCTTCAAGGAATCACTGCTTTTATTCTTGTTTTACAACAAAGAGTAGAAAGAGTGGGAATTTTTCCTTGTAGTAAATATTGTATTCCATGATGAACATGTTAGCAGTGAACACTGTTCAACTGTGACCAGTATATGTAATTTATTATTATATGGCTCTCTACATCCCTATCTTTCCTAGGTTTTTCTACTTAAATAGCTTTGCATCGCTTCATATTCCTAGGAAATTTCTGTTCTTCCTGTAAAAAGCAAAATCTCATTCTCTCTAAGTCCAAAATATTAGCTTTGCATTTTCTTTAAAAAAGCAGTTACAAAGTATGTTGTCATGGAAATCTTTGGTTGTTTACTTTAACTCTGATGCCATAGGGTGGAGGCAGGCATAAAGATGTAAGCAGCCAAAACGTCAGCTCTAATTTGCAATCCTTATGTCTAATCACTGAAACCTTGCTTCTTTGTGAACTTTATGGCAGATCTACTGTAGCAGAGGGAAAAGTCAGTCAACAAACATCTCAAATTCCCCTTAATGGGAGTCAGGTGGTAGCACAGAAGCTCCAGCTCACTGTTTAGTTGCCCTTGTACATCTCTGGCACAGATGTAGAGGGCTGCATTAGTGGTGTGAACAGAGAACAAATGGGTCTGCCTGGGAGCAGAAGCACCAGAAGAAACAGTAGCAGAATGTCTCCAAGACCTACTTGTTGATGGTCATCAAGATGCAAACACATCTGTCTGCAGCTTCTTAGGACACTCAGATCAGAAAGGACAGGACAGTGAGACTAATCAGAGTTACCTCCTAAAGGGTACCTAATGCATGTTCAAAACCTGCACATGGTCACATACCTAAGAACAACTCAGAAGAAGTAATGAAGACACAACTGTTGAAATTCTTTGTCATCAAAGTTATGGCAAAGAATCCTAGGGAGATCATTCAGGCACAAGAACCTTGGTGGTTGTGAGAATATGGGTCGAGAGCATGCTGAACGTGACTGAGTAAAATCAGTCTGCTTTTTTTTAACTAAGTCACCTTCCTCCCTACACAATCAGCTTTACTACACTGGTTCTACAGTACTGCAACACTATTTCCTATATGGAATTATTGCCAAGCATCAGGTCAAATTCATCTGTCTCCCTTTTGCTTTTCTCCCTGTAGATGCCATGTGAAGGCTGCATGGAGAAGGACAATATGAGCACTGGTGCAACCATGGAGTTCCTCCTGCTTGGCTTCTCTGAGCTGCTCTGTCTGCGGGTCCTCCTCTTCCTTTTTTTTCTCATTCTTCATTTGGTCACGTTGGCAGGGAATATGATGGTCTTCATGGCAGTGGTTATGGAGCCTTCACGTCCCCCCATGCTTTTCTTCCTCTGCCAGCTCTCTGCCATCGAGCTCTGCTATACCCTAGTCATTGTCCCTAAGGCACTCCTCAGCCTGATAGTGGTGGACGGCAGCACCATTTCTTTCATAGGCTGTGCTGCACAGATGCACCTTTTTGTCACACTCGGTGGGGCTGAATGCTTCCTCCTGGTAGCCATGTCCTATGACCGCTACGTTGCCATCTGCCAGCCCCTTCACTACACGGCTGTGATGAGCGAAGGGTTCTGCCTCAGGCTGGCTGTGGTGTGCTGCCTGGGAGCCTTTGCTGTTGCCCTGGGGTTGACAGTGGCTGTTTTCCGCTTACCTTTCTGTCAGTCTCGTCATATCAACCACTTTTTCTGTGATGTCCCTGCTGTGCTGCACCTGGCCTGTACACAGAACTACACCCCCGAGCTGCCCTTGCTGGCTGCCTGCGTGCTTCTCCTGCTGCTCCCCTTCCTCCTAATCCTGACCTCGTATATCTGCATTGCTGCGGCTTTGTTACCTGTCACCTCCTCTGTGGGAAAGGGCAAGGCCTTTTCCACCTGCGTTTCACACCTGGCCATCACCTTATTACACTACGGATCTGCCACTTTCATTTACATTCGTCCTAAGTCCAGTTACTCACCAGCTCGAGACAAGGTGGTATCTCTGGTCTACACCAACATTACTCCACTATTGTATCCCCTCATTTATAGCCTGAGGAACAAGGAAATCAGAGGGATCCTCAGGAAAATGTTGAGAAGGAAGAAAATAGCTCAGCTGAACTGTGATATAATCAGAGTTGAGATGTGTGTGTGTGGTAAATTTTAGTGCTTATTGGAAAATAGCCCCATAATCATGTTAAGACCAGATCACCATACACTTCACTGTGGCAAATATCCTGGCAGAATTCTACATACATCACTACATTTGTAAGAAAAAGAAATCTCTGCTAAAAGAAAAAAAAAAGAAAGGTCTTCAACATAACATTTGACCTAAAGGAAAATGCTTCAATGGCTTGTGAGGATGAAGAGCTTTGATCAATTTGTGGTCTCACTTCTGTGATCAAACACATACATATTCAGGTATACATTCATGGTCATCACAGAGCAATCAAAAGGTCAACAAAAATATTTAAAGCAAATAAACCAATATTAAAGTATTGGTTTCACTATTTTTCTATCAAGATGACAGTGGAAACTGGGAAGTCAATAAAAATTTTAGACTGGTAAATTTAGCAGCACAATTAATCTAAAGAGGATTATTGGAAGGTTAGAAGAAGGAAGTCCATGGCTAGAAGGAAGGGGAAAGAGCTGTGGTTTTCTCCAAATTTAGCAGAAGTTTGCACTCTGGCATCCCATCACAAATGGAAAGATTGTTAGTGCAAACTCCTGTAACCTTGAATTATTCCAGATATAGAAAATTCAAGTGCCATCGGTTTGACAAGAGCGTGAGCTTCCTATGTCTGTTTTGCAGGAAGTAAACTTTCCTTTTACAGGGCGATACTTTAGATTTGGGTTGTTCCTATGGTAACATAAAGACTAAGATATTGGTCTTATCATGTGACTTTTATCAGGAAAGACTGCATCATATAAATAAGGATGCCTGGGGAGTGTTGAAATCTATAATTGTAAGAGTAATAATACTGCTGCTACAGTTACTGTAATTTCTTTAGCAACTGAGAGAGAACTACAGCACATGCTGGACTGCAGTGGGCATGAGTCTGAAAGGTGCAAAGCAGTGTTATTTTATGAGTTTCCTACATGTAGGAGGAACAGGATGATTCAGACAAATTAGGGAAGATCAATTCTGGACAGGAACAGAGGGGAAAGAAGCAACTTCGTTATTTTATTTAATACTTCCCTCCCCCATAGCTCTTTAGAGCCCAAACAGACTCTATGATTCAGAACCCACCTCTTACATAGCAAATTGTTGAGAAAAAATTAAAATGCTTGCTTCTGTTTCTTTGCCTAATACAAAGGAATTTCAGCACCCCAGCTGCCCTCAGCTCTCTCTCTCAGTAGACTGAGAGAGCAAAGTGGTATTTGCTTTCTCTGGGCTACAATCGTTAAAAATTATGGTAAGTGGATTTGACTAATGTAAAAAATTGGCGCTGTAACTAAGGAAGCTAACTTGGAGTCATCTGACAAAAGAGAAATGTGGAATTTAAAACTGGCATTAAAAGCTGTCTTCAAGTTGACAGCCTAGCCTGCCTAAAACATTAACACAGAATGTTGGCTCTCATGTCAATGAATACTTAATTACTGCTGTAAGCAAATATTTAGCTACATTATTTAAAATGATGAAAGTTGTAGTGAACATTTTAATCACCTGCCAGGTCTTCCAAGAATGAGAAGGGGAGGGTCTCAATACTAGCACATTACTTACTAATGGAGAAGTACTTTAGAAGGACTTTGAATCAAATACTATTAAATAACTGTAATGAACGCAGGACAAATCTGAAGCATCAATTCTAAATCCTGTCAAGTCAAATCAAGCTTTGAAGTTAATCCTGCTGCAAGCAGTCAGCTGCATTTGAGACCTCCAGAGGTCCTTCCTGAGATTAGCAGGATTTTACAGCAGAGGTTTCCAACTTGCCTTCTAGGAGGTATTGATATGCTCAAATGTCTGGCAATAAAACTGAAGGACAGAAAGACTGAGGTTTATAATACTATGATCAAAACCTTGGTAGAGGTCCTCATGTGTTTCTGGTAGCTGTAGGCATGGGATAGCAGATAGATAACTGTTATCTGCTGCTAGCTGTGGGAAGATAACAAGGCAGCAGGGCTCTGTCCTGAACTAGGGACGTTCCTCATGAACCATTGCTTATCAGGGGCACCTCAGCAGATCTCTCCTCACTGTAAGGATATAGATGATGCCTTTGGAAGGGATGACATGACTGAAACAGCAGCCAGGCTAGACTTACAGCTCTTTCATTCTGAGATGCATGTGGGAAGCACAACAAGCAGTGGAGGCTTTCCGGACACTCTTTCCACCCAATGTCCTTGCAGATGAATGGAGTGAAGAGATATCCCAGAGCCCAAGACTATCCTCACCAGTATTCCCACACACATTAGTCTACGACTATCCCCATCAGTATCCCCGACACCCATTCACAGCACCCCTTCCCCCTCCCCTATGGCCAGCTGTGTCGAGCATTGTACAGGTCTGTAGAGAGGACTCAGGGATAAGAGTGGGAAGTGGGGTAGCTTATGACGTAAGAGCAGCAGCAGTGTATAAGAGATGTCAGAACCACCTTCTTTTTAATATGTTATCTTTCAACTGACAGGAGCTGCCTGAGGTCCCTTTTCCACCCGACCCCACCCACATTTCCAAGTGGCTATTTCAGTCCTGTTGACTCAGTACACTGTTTGCTGAGAGCTGGGGAATGCTCAAGTGAAGTAAGATAGCAATATCCCTGTTGTAGGGAGTGAGCATAGAATAATAATAATAATAAAAAAAGATAATTTCTAAATCCTTTTCAGAACTTTGCAGGGAACAGCAGAATCCAATCAGGCAGCTGAAGATGGGTACGGCAAAGATCTTTCCATGCGCATTGTAATTGTTTGGGTTGTGTAGGGTCTCAAGACTCTCTACAGAACGAGCACAGTTGGGCACCTGCATTCCACAAATGGTCTTGTCATTTCTTGGAAGAAGAATGCTTACATTCCCAAATTTGGAGAGGTCTGAGATCTGACAAACACAGGTGTCATGAAGTTTTCCGGTGAAACCAACTAAGACATCCCTAAGAATCACTTTGTGATTTACACAGCCATAAAAACAGAGTATTCATCCTTGCAATTAAGTTTTTAAAGGTGGCCCTGAGCAAGCACTATATGAGAACACAGATCTTATCAGTGGTTGAGCACCAGAGCTCAACCTGTAAGGCCTCTATGATAATATCAGTGCTGTCCACATTGTCAAAAATGAAAAGAGTTTGGACGATGATGGCACAGACTTTGAGTATATTTAAAGGGTACTCAAGTAGTACTTAAGGGTACTTAAGATCCAGCACCTTGAATGGTACATGCCATTCAAAGAGACACTTCAAGGTGGGATATCTTGAGTACTACTACCAGTACCAGTGATACTGGTAGGATACCAGTGAAATCTCCCTTTCAGTGTAGAGAGAAACCAGTGAAAAATTCTTGGTTTTTTTCTTCACACTTGTCATATTGTGCTGGCAATCCAGGTAAGACACTGCCTAGATATGCTCCTATAAATAATCAATCTCCTAAAAGAATTAAATGCACTTGCATTAAAAATATTTCCTTATTTTCCTAGGAATCTAAATAGAAAAAAGGAATTTGTTTCTACTATGGGTAAGGGAAGTTGAAAAACTGCCAATCCAATTTTAAGTGCTTGGAAGAAGTTTCAATGTATTCACCTCCCCTTGACAGTGACGTTATAACAACCTATCCATTTTGGCTTACGTGGAAAGTGAGTCCACCAGCCTCCTTTCTTCCGGATTCTTCAAAAGCTTAGAAAACCTGTAGATAATCCTATATTTACCCAAATAGCTTTTTTTGTATTTTGATCTGAAGCACAAGGAAAGCATCAAGGTGAAATTAATACAGCTGTTTACAGTGGAGTGATAAAATGAAATGGATGTGGGGATAGTAGTAAGCCTAGAAAGTGGATGTTAATATCACGAGGGTGAAAAGCTGTCACAGATGTTGATTTGCTTTATTGACAAAAGGCTCCTGTTTTCCATGTTTATCATTGAACATGCCAAGTGCAATAGCAATATTTACTGTGCTTTACTATTTACATACTTTACTATGATAAAAACTAGAATGATATAGGAGTTTCTTTTGCAGATATTTATAGACAGAAGACTTACAAAAGAAGAGAGATGAGTCCTTACTGAGATTGCTTTGTATTATTATATGAAATTATGTGCCCAGCATATAAAACCTGAAAAGTTCCTATAGGATAGAAAAGAATACAGTCCATACCCCTATAAACAGGCTAATGGGAAAGAAATGCTTAAATCACCTTCAATTTCTCTCCAGAATAAAAAATTTCTAGACTTTACAAGCTTTCTGTTTACCAACTGGGTTGTTGTACAGGCCTTAAGTTTCCTTTAATGGATTGTTTCAGGAAGTAACCAGGAATGTAAGACAAAAAATAATCAGGAGACCAAAGTGGAGCTGAAGAATGAGGTGAAGCTCCATGCCAGATGGTTGGTTTCAGAGTCAGTTTCACTTTGCCCTGCAAGCACCTCCACATCAAAAAGCTGACTGAAGGCGTTATTAATAATACCAGCATTGGATCCCTAACCTAAAGCTCTTGACTCTAAAGATTCTGCTGTGCTCAGTTGTCTTCCAGGCAAGCCCAGGAAAAAGTGAGAATGGGAAGGTCGATATCCACCCAATGTGTACCCTTGGCTTCACCTGCTTAAGTGCCAGCACATGAGACAGTCTGGTTTTACAAATTGGTATGTAAAGATATAAGACCGTCTGGTTCTACAAATTGGCATGTAAAGGAGAGGGAAGACCAGATGGCTCAGCAGCATATGGCCTCTAGCCTAGTCACTGCTGAAAATCAGGTCTCCTAAAGTCTGTGTCGTGTTTCATTGTGGTTTTGGTATACAGTTGCTCTCAGCATTCATTTTAGTTTTCATGTTTTGATTTAATTAAAAGTTCAGGTTTCAAAAATCAAGTGGGAGGCTGAACTGCGAGTAGAGTTGGCAGTGAGTTGGGAAGGTTTCACACGTTCAATGCCCTCTTCCCACTTGCAATGCAACAAGTATCTATTTCAAATATTTTCTCTTGATACCCACATTGAAACCTCTCAGGAAGAACACAGGTTGCTAATGCAGTAACCAG